CAGGGCATAGCCCCTGCTCCCAATGCTGTCATGCCTGCATCCTGTGCCCCCCACGCCCCTGCCTACCCTGTTTGGGCAAGCGGTGGCAGTGTCTGCATCCCGTGCTCCCCCTCCCTGGCTGGGCAAGCGGCGGGCTATGCCCTGCTGCCACTTGGGGGATGCATCACCTGCATCGCACCTCTCCTGTCCCGGCTGGGCAAGTGACAGCAGGGCATAGCCCCCACTCCCAGCACTGCCACTCCCAGGCCCCCCTGCCCCAGCTTGTCCTAGCCAGCCCCAATCCCTCCCTCTGCCATGCCCCTTTCTTCCTCCCTCCACCTACCCCAACACACTTACCAGCTGGAGGCAGCTGTGTCCAGCGTGGTGAGGACTGCTGTCTGTTTAGTTTATGGTCGAATCTCTGAAGCAGTGCCAAATCTTTTCCGAATTGATTTGGAGGCTTCTGATTCAGTTCAGACCCTTTAATTGGTCTCCTGATTCAATTTGGAGATTTGGCCACCAAATTGGACCGAATCTCCTCTGAATCGAGTCAGCTACTGAAGCTTTGCACAGCCCTACTATTAGCCTTTTTTGAAACAAGGGCACACTATTGACTCATATTCAGCTTATTGTCCACTATAACCCCCAGGTCCTTTGCTGCAGAGATGTTGCTTAGCCAGTTGGTCCCCAGCAGAAAGCCTGACTGGTGAAGTCAGGCTGGTGGGGCAGTGGAACGTGCCATGGTGGGGGAGGTTTGCAGCCTTCCCTGTTACTGGCTGGAGTGCTGGGCCAGCTGCAAGCCCTGCCTCCCCACACCCCCCTTCCTGGCTGGCTGCAAACCACCCTACCCGTCCTGCTCCCATGGGATGCTCCACTGTCCCGCCAATCTGAGTTCACCAGCTGTGCCTGGTCCCCAGCCTGTATCAGTACATGGGATTGTTCTGTCCTAAGTGCAGGACTATGCACTTTTCCTTATTGAATTTCGTGAGGTTTGTTGTGGTCCTGTCCTCCAATTTGTCTACTTCCTAGTCTTCCTGCACATCAGGATGGTTTGTAGGATGGTTCTTTCACTTTTCATATTTTTCATATTTTGCATTTTACTCAGTCTAAAGTAAATAGAACTTATGGTTTTTGCTGAGAAAAAGTAAATAGAGCTTATGGTTTTGCTTTGTTCTATGTGTTATTTATTGAGAAACAAGTTCAAATTGTTTCTGTATAAATATGTCTTTGCTTATTTTCAGGTTGTATACGATTCTAATACACTGTATATTTTTGCACCCAGTGCACAAAGTAGGGATCAATGGGTGAGCAATCTGAAAGAAGGTAATGAAGGTTGCTTAAAGATAATATTTGAAACATTTAGAGGTAACACTTTGAAAAATATATCTTATGGACAATTTGGGGTGATAAGTGTGTTGGGCAATACCAGCTGGGTTCACATCACATGCAACAATATTTTGCTTTCAATTGGACCATTGCCAAAATGAAATAACCTCATGTATTCCACTGGAATTGTTCTCAGTTTAAACAGCATAATAGAAAACAGAATTTGGCCTTATGATATTGTGCAAGTTGCTAAGTCATTAGAGAATATTATATATGTTAATGCTATTGATCATCTGTTTAACACACATTTATGCTTACATATTATTGTAAAATATATTTCTATTAAAATATTACTGTGAAATATGGGTCCTATTTTTCTCTGGTTATCCTTTTACTCTTGCTTTACCTGTGGGAGGTTAGGGTGCTATGTCTTGTGGTTATGTGACAGGTTGCTTGTGTAGTTTTAGTAATAGATTATACAAGGGTTTGTATAGGATAGTTTGGATAGCGATGATCTTGCCTCAGGCTGGGGGCTGTACTAGATGACCTTTGGAGGCCTCTTCCAGTTCTACTTTTCTCTGATATCCTTCACTGTGGGTGTGAAGGGATGGAGACATAGAATCTAGCTCTACTAGTTTTGTGCTTGTTGGATTCTTTCCTGTTTTAAGGGGTATCCCATATGGGAATTTTTGTTGTACAAATTGTGTGACCATGTATTCTGACTCATAACTACACATTATCTGATGAAGTGAGCTCCAGCCCATGAAAGCTTGTGCTCTGTATATATCTTGGTTAGTTAGCCTATATCAGTGCATATCTATGTGCCTTCTTAATATAACTACATTCACCTAGGGCTCAGTCATACTTGTAAAGTGCAGCCAGCCTTGAACTGGGGGCAGTGTGAAACAACTGGGTCAAATGAAGCAGAATGACTAATGAGGTTCCCAAGTACATAAAGGCAGAGTACTTGCTGGTGCCCACCAAACTCCTTTGTGAGCAGCTGTAAGCTCCTACCTATTTAGCTGCTCAGTAGGGTTGCAGCACTATTAGCCCACCTTATTAGCCTCTCTGGGGGTATTGCACATCCTTATGAAGGAACAGCCCTTGTGCTACCCTGAACAGTGAGACTTCAGTTGTACCTTAATTTTATACATATACCATCTGGCCCTTAGTTTACCATAGCATATGCCAAATTATCCAAGGCAGACTATGCACTCTGTAATCACACATTTCAGGTATAGTAAAGCATACAGATATATAGGAGTGTTTATAAAAGGTAATGAAAAATTAGCCTCTGCAGAATGTTTCTAAAGGTCTTCACTGCTGTAGACACCATTCCCATTGTCTCTGCTAAAGCAGACACAAGTTGGAAGGTCACTTTTTTTCTTTTAGGAACTTTTTCTAAAATAAAACAGCTGTTTATAGTACAAGTAAATAGTTTATAGTACAATACAGCACAGTTTTTATAGTACAGTACAACTTTATAGTTTAAAGCTGTTTATAGTTAGTACAAGTAAAGGTTCAGATTGAGTTCAATAAAGTTGGTCCCTGTGAGAACAAAGAGGATATAATCCTTGTTGGTCTTGCTCCTCACTTGTCTGTTAGATTTATGTTTCTAGAATGAAGGCCCTAAAGGTCTTCAGAAACTGCACAACTATACTTTGACTAGATAAATCATTTAGTTATATTGCCTTTTTCTGTTGTCATGCGATTTTGTGACATGCTACGCTATGATGCTTATCATAATTAAAGCTATCCTGGAATTACTGGCATTATGGTAGCACCCAGCAACCTAAATCTTAGAGCAGGACTCCATTGCACAGTACAAACATAAATATCTGCTACCAAGGCTAAGTACAGATAGTCAAAAAGCTCAGGGCTGAATTGATTCAGTCTTTGCAGGTTAGTCTAAACTGCAGAGATTAAACTGAGAAACAGCTGGACATACAGTCACTTTTGATTCAGGAAAAGCAGCCATATGCCTGCAGTGGCTCAGGCCAGAAACCGGAGTGTGCTACAGCACAACTCTCTAGAATATAGCCAGCTTTCTGCTGCTGCTTCTTCCTGCTGGCCCCAAGGTCTCTGGGATTTGCAGTCCAGATTCACAGCAGCAGAACTCTGCATGGTTGCTCATCACTTCCTCTTCCTGCTTCCAGGTGCCTCTGGGATTCATAGTTCATAGTTGCAAGCCAGCAGTACATTTTTAGCAGAGCAGGGAAGCTCTGTACTTGGGGGAAGGGAAATTTAACCCCTTCCCTGGTCCCAGATACCAGCTGGGGTTTGCCTGGGGAGGGGCAGTCCCCACCCCCCGCTTCCCCCTTCTTTCCTGGAGCAGACAGCCCACCCAGCCCAGCCCAGCCCAGCCCAGGGCTAGAAAGCATGCTGGGAAGCTGGGGGACTCTGATTTAACTTGAACCAGGAAGGGGTCTGGGATAGAAGTTTCATAAACCAGTTTGACCCAAATCAGTTAAGTCTGTTACTACATTCAACCAGGCTTATCTTAAACCAGATCCCGCCGTTTTGAAACTGGTTTATGTGCACTGAACTTCTGTTCTGTTATAGGTTTAGACTAGTGTCTGAGGACTAGTTTAGGTGTAACTTCTGTCCCTAGCCCAAGTTCACAAACCAAGTGTTCTCTCCTAAAATGCAAGACTTTGTTATCCAACTCCACTAAAGTTAATTGTTAAGCATACACTTTGCTATAACAATCTTGCCTCCTAAAAGTGTTCTTGGGTGCTGTATTATCCTAAGGAAGTTCTCTCTTATCACTGTATGACATTCATGTTAACACAGAATGCATACCTGAAGAATAGTTATACTAGTTTAAGTAACAAAAGAGTTATTGTTATGCCCCATATTAATAGTATTACAGTACTATGTATGAATAATATGAAATCATTCTTATGAAAAGGTTTGGTACTTTAAATTTATATACCATTTGTTTTTATAGAAATAAAGAACAACAACAACATAATGGTAAAGTATCATCCTAAATTCTGGACAGAGGGGATTTATCAGTGTTGCAGACAAACAGAAAAATGTGCACCTGGCTGTGAAAAATACAACCTTTTTGAAAACAGTAAGTGGATGTTAAAACTCTTGTCTTATTAAAACTGAAGCAAACTTCAAATTGAAACATTTCAAATTGGGTTGGGGGGAAAAGGCATATCATTAAAAAATGTTGAGGGAAATATTTTGACTTTTTTCTGAAATTATTCTGTGTTTTTCCAACTGAAATAATTCAGAAAAAAATTGACGCAGTCACAAAATACTTCAGTTGACCTAAAATTGCATTTTATACTAAAAAAAAAAAAAAAAAAAGAAGCTGTGAAGTTTTATTCAGCTTTACAAATCAAATAAATGACTTCAGACACTGAGTGATATAAATCAAGAACAACTGTTCCCAGGCCAATATAACTGTACCAGTATGAAAATGAAATAAGAAAACCAGGATCAATATATGTAAGGAAATTTTGTCTTGTTTCCCTAGTTATAGTTTGATCATGTATAATTTAGGCATTATGTAAATGTTCACTTTTGGAACCCGTCTCTGCTTCCAGGACTCTTCCTGTATTTTATCCAGTGACTATTAGATGTAAAATAGAGAAACAGACCTGGAAGAGGGGATCAAAATATGGGACTTTGCTCACTCAGAGAAATTATAAATGCTGATATACCCTAACCGTTAAGCTATAGCGACCCTCTCTTTTGCTTGTTCTCCTTCTGGCCCTCACTCATGCATACCTTCCTGCACAGTGGCCCAGCTTCAACAGGGGATATAGGGTGCCTTAGCTCAGCCCAGTCTAGCCTACTAGCTAGGCACTTGAGGTTAAAGATATGGGTTGAATTTCCACAGTTGGAGGAGGGCTAAAAACCAAGCTCTTTCACTTTCTGAGCAAGTACTCTAAGCCAGATGTTGAATACAGGGTTACCACGGTCACCTGCAATACTTGTGAGTGGATATTGCTGTGGGTACTGAACTCATTGTCATCAGTGTGCTGAGCTGAATGCACCTACTTGCTTAGGCCCCTCAGTGAACTTGGGTGCAGGGACACCTAATATGTAAATCTCAACTAACCTTAGGATGTAAACAGACATCCCCAAATAAAGTGGATCAGCTGATCTGCTTCATTGGTCAAACCAGGCATCACCAGCTGACCTGCAGGGTTGGGCCCCTGCCATTCCTGGGATACTTGGATACTTGGATCCAACACTTGGATACATCTCTGCAAATGGAGGAACCCCAGGTTTCCTCCCTAGCAGAGGAGCACCCAGGGAATTCCCAGTGTGTGTCTGCATTTAGGGGAGCCTGGAGTTTCTCCATTTGCAGAGACGCACCCTAAATCACGTTGTCTGAGCACACATCTCTACAAAAGGGGAGACCTTTGGTTTCCCCATTTCCAGAGTTGTGCATCTGGAGAGTCTGACTTGGGATATACCTCTGTAAATGGGAGAACCTGGGCAGGTGCTCCTGGTGCTTCAGAAGCAGAAATCTGCATGCCCCGAGAATGAGAATTCACGTTGTATGCAGGATCAGGCCCCTGAAGCCCCGGGAACACTTTCCTGGCATGGCTGGAGAGTGTAGGCGGCTCTGGGCTGCCCATGCTCTCCTGCCATAAATCAAACAGACGTCTGCTGCAAAATAGTGATACAAATTCATACCACCTATGTCATAGGAACAAATTTGGGCACTTACAGCACCACAAGGGGCATGGACCTCTGTTTGGCATGTGTGCAGCCATAAAAATTTGACTGGACACCTAAGAGGATGGTGCTGAAGCTAGATTTATAGCACCTATGTTTTCTTGTGTGTCTAAATGAGTAGGCAGAGGGTTTTGTGAATCCTGTTCTTGGGCTTAGGTACATAACTTCCTCCTAAGTTGCACTTTAAATACAAGTCTCTTTTTAGATCTGGCATTAATACCCATACTAGATTTAGCCTTTTGTCTTAAGTATGGTTTTACAGAGCTGGGTCCTGTTTTCTGTGACCGTGACATTTATACTAACAAGAAGGCTGACTAAGATATTAACATTTTATCTGAATTTTAAAAATGTTTTATAATGATCATTAATCAATGGATCTATAAGTGTAACATATTCCTTCCACTGTGTTTCTTTTAGGTATAAGGAATTCTGCTTCTCCACTACCAATAAAAAATAAGGTTGGTAGAATTTTTAGAACACTGAATAGCTTAATGTAGTTGATTGAGAAATATTTTAAATACAGTATTTAGTTCCATTATACTTAATTCATTATATGCTGATGATCCATTCCTGTAAGTGTTGACTGAAGTCAATATAAAAGCACTGTTGACTACAGTGGGCTTTTGGTTTAGACCCATACAACAGGGATTCTTAACTGGGGTGCCATGAAATCCTTTGAAGGAAGCCATAGTACCTGGCCTCTGTGAGAGGAGGTAAATGCTGGCTTCTCCACACACAAAGCATCCTCTGCCTGCTGCAGCATTCTGGCAATATTCCAGCTCCAGGAGCGGGGGAAGGAGCCAAGCTGAAAAGTGCAGCTCCTCCCTGCTGGCAGACCTTGTGCTGACTGCCCCTGTGTTTCAAGTGGTGCACTCTGACTTGGGGCTGTGCTTTTTTTAGCTCAGCTTCTCTCTTGGGGAACAGAGGCTCTAGTCACTGGCATTCAGGTCCCCAGAGGAGCTGTCACAGCAGCAGAGGCCATGCTCAGCCCCTCAGATGTGGAGTTGGGGGCAGGAAAGAGGCAGAAAGAGCAGAGTACAGCAGGGTTCTGCCCCCACCACCCTGATCTGGCACCAGTCTGTGCTTTCAGTGACCACTGTTATCCCCTTCCACCTCCTTCAGGGACAAGGGCCTCCTTCCGGGTACTAATGACCCACCCCAAGCTCCTCAAACTGCCCCGACAAGCAGCCCCTGCCATTGCTGGGCACTGTACCACCATTCCCTCAAGCTATCAGGGGTACGTTACCCACTGCTGCCTGCCTTGCTACACTGAGAGATATTTTGAAGGGTGCTGTGGGTACAAGAAAGTAAGCACTCTGAAATATAAATTACTCTTTAAAGGGGATGCCACTACATTCTGAAAATCTATGGAGGTGGGCCTAGAGTCTTAAAAGGTTGAGAAGCGGTGCCATAGAGCCAGCTTCAGCTTCTACTGTGTATCAACATACATGCATTTTCCACAGACTGTAGCAGGAAATGGTTTGAGCCCACAGCAATTATGACTTTGAAAACCCTCCTGACACTAACTGGGCCGTTCACAACGTCAAAGCCTTATTGTGGGTGATAAGTATTTGTAGGATTGGGCCCTTATATAATGAATCTGTGAATTAAAAATTAAATTGTCATTTAACATGATTAAAAAATTTTACTTAAAAATATGTATTGAATGGGTTAGCGGAGTTTCTTAAAGTAGGTTATTAAACTGACACAGAACTAGTCTAGTCTTTGTCTGTTACAGTGTTTTGCTTGTGTACAATGGAACACTAATAATTTTATATCAGTTTCAGCGGAGGCCTCCACCACCTGTTCCCCCACCTGAGCAAAGTGAAGATGAAGAGGAGGAAGAAATAGTAGTAGCAATGTATGATTTTCTGCCTGCAGAACATCATGATTTAAGATTGGAAAAAGGTGAAGAATATACAATAACAGAGAAAAATGACATGCATTGGTGGAAAGCAAGAGATAAACATGGGTAAGCAGCATTTCCACCCATCATGGTGTAAATAAGGCTACCCCCTAACTATAATTTTAGGTTGATTTGTCCTATATATATAAAAAATCAAGAATGATGGACATAGAATTTGGGTATAATTTAGTGATCTATATCTGATCTTGGACTCCAATCCTGGATTCTGCATGGATCAGGACCTTATGCCTGTCTAGAACTCCCTAAAGCTAAGAGGCTCTGTACTAACTCTGGGATCATTCTGTAGAGTTGGTGATTTGTATGCATAGGTTTCCTGTTAGGCATTAACTAAATTTTACCAACTTTTTCATTTTTATAGGTTAAAAAAATCAGAAAGCTTTTCCTATGTATTTGGAAGTTATTTCAGACATCTTGCACTGGTCTTAATGAGAATCTTCATGCTCCAAAATTCACCAGTTCCTTGGTGAAAAAAATAGTTCAGGGTAATTTTGTGTTAGTAAATCGCAGTACGGTGGTTGTGGTAATATGTATTTTAGGAACAATAAGCACCTCATCTCTTCTGACAGCACTGTTTAGAGACTATTTCTCGTAATGAAGTAGGGGGCAGCCAAAGTAGAGAGCTAGCATGGCTATTCATATTGCTCCCCTTTGCTGGCTCTTGTACAGGAGGAGTAGTTAGACTCAGAACTTAAACCTGGACACTTCTGTATACATTGCAACTTCATTAGATGCAAGGAAAATGAGTCGGGGTAAAAAAAAAACCTCTCTCTCTAATGAGAATTTGAATTGGTCATTAATAAGGTAGACAATTACAGGTGACTTCTTTTTAGTAGATGAAACATGAATTTTCTTTTTCTTTTTTTAGATGATATCATGATTAAAATTTACTGTGCAATGTTTCTCTCTTTCTAGAAATATAGGATACATTCCAAGCAATTATGTGACAGGAAAGAAGTCCAACAACCTTGACCAATATGAGTAAGTGAATACTTTCATAAAAATAGAAAATAGAAGACAATAAACATTAAGTATTAGCAAATGCAAGAAAACCATATTTAAAATTCTGTATAAATTATAGGTTATGAAATTGAGTTCAAAGATGGACCTTGTGAAAATATATTAAATATGTGCATATTTTTTCCTGTTTTTCCTCTCACCTGTATTGTTGTCACAGGTATGTATCCTGATTTACAGTGAGGTGAGTAGGAGAATCAGGAATGTAGTTTTCAGTCAGTCAACAGCAAAAATATTGATAGATTAAGAGACACATTAAACGACCTTCATCTGTAATGAAACTGTGTGTAGTCAATGGTCTGATGGTCATCTGAAAGTACTGTCATCTGACATGATTCATAGATTCATAGATGTTAGGATCGGAAGGAACCTCAATAGATCATCGAGTCCGACCCCCTGCATAGGCAGGAAAGAGTGCTGGGTCTAGATGACCCCAGCTAGATGCTTATCTAACCTCCTCTTGAAGACCCCCAGGGTAGGGGAGAGCACCACCTCCCTTGGGAGCCCGTTCCAGACCTTGGCCACTCGAACTGTGAATAAGTTCTTCCTAATGTCTAGTCTAAATCTGCTCTCTGCTAGCTTGTGGCCATTATTTCTTGTAACCCCCGGGGGCACCTTGGTGAATAAAACCTCACCAATTCCCTTCTGTGCCCCCGTGATGAACAGTTTGAGTAAATCTGTGTTCTCTTCTCTTTGTGCCCAAGCAAAGATTGTTAACAGAACAAAGTAAACATACCAGACCAGAGATTCCAGACCAAGAAGTTCAAACTTCAAAAGATAACTCTGTGTGTAGCTTAAACATTAGCACATTTAATCAGTTTATAAGCCAAAACAATCTTGAAGGTACTACTGGGCTTTTATTAATGTCAGGCTCTTGCTGATTTTGGACAACATGGGTAATTTTGAGCTCATTACAAGACACAGAAAGATAGAAATGTATACTGTTATGAATGTCACCACTAATCTGACTTTAAAATGATTTTTTAAATATTGAAACTTCAGGTCATGAGTAAAAACAGGCATAAAATTATCATGTTTTATATGCATTC